TGTGTATGGGGGTCAGTATGTGTGTATGGGGGGCAGTGTGTGTGTATGGGGGCAGTGTGGGGGTAGTTTGTGTGTATGGAGGGCAGTGTGGGGGCAGTGTGTGTGTATGGGGGCAGTGTGTGTATGGGGGGCAGTGTGTGTGTATGGGGGCAGTGTGTGTGTGTAGGGGGCAGTGTGTGTGTGTATGGGGGTGTGTGTGTGGGGCAGTGTGTGTGTGTGTGTATGGGGGGCAGTGTGTGTGTATGGGGGCAGTGTGTGTGTGTATGGGGGGCAGTGTGTGTATGGGGGGCAGTGTCTGTGTGTATGGGGGCAGTGTGTGTGTATGGGGGAACAGTGTGTGTGTATGGGGGCAGTGTGTGTGTATGGTGGGCAGTGTGTGTGTATGGGGGGCAGTGTGTGTGTGTGTGATAAGGGTGGGGGGGGCTTTTTATGATATATATATTTATTTAATTTAATATAAATATTCTATGTCCCCCCTCCCTTCTTACCTTTACTGGGGGGAGGGGGGACACTTCTTGGTCCCTGGTGGTCCGGTCGGTGATTCATTGATGGTCCCAGTGGTAGGAGTGAACTCTAGCCTGCGCTCCAGGGCTAGAGTTCACTCTCGCAAGATTTGGAGCGTTGCCGTGGTAACCGCGGCAACGCTCCAAATCTTGCGAGAGGAGGACCCGGAGGAGCTGCAGCCTGAGCTCCTGGGGCCTCTCTCCTCCCTCTCCCTCCCCTGCCGGCTGCCAGCACGGTGCCTGTGGACCGGGGAGGGAGATCTGTGATCTCCCCTCCGGTCCTCAGGCACATTGCAGGGCTGGCAGGGGAGGGAGACCGTCGGATTTCTCGGGGGGGGGCAATTGCCCCATTGCCCCCCCCTGGATCCGCCACTGAGTCTGGGTGCCAGGCCCCCCTAGTTTTAACCCTGCAGCTGAAAACATTTACACTGCATGGTTAATCAACCCTTTAGTGACTGTCTCCCTGTTATAAAACAGTTTAATAAAAATGGATCCTGTAAACAAAGATTCCTCTAGGAAAGGAGTAACTGAATGATGTTCAGAAACAAAGTCTAAGTTAAGTAGGTAAACAACAATTGTTGGTGGCGAGTCAAATAGGGTCACACTAAGAAATTCGTAGACAATATAAAGTCCAATTAATAAAACATAGATATTGAATATGGGAATGAAAGGGAAAATATGCAACCAATAACTAAGCATGAATGAGTTGCCAAGAGTTGTATGAATGCAAAACAAGCAAAACAAAAAACATAAGAGAGATATCACTAGAAGAACCCCCAAAATCTAACCAAGACAAACTGTAAACAAATACACTTTAATAAAATGCAAAAAAAAGAGTGGAGCATCACCCAGATGATAAATAGTACTTTTTACTAGCATTATACTAATGCAGCTATTTTAGCTTTAAATTTCAAAATGACTTTCAATACCTGACAATTTTCACAGATACAAACACTGACACACATGCAGATACACAGACACATACAATGACACACATACACAGATACATGCACTGACACACAGATACAAACACGGACATACATGCAGATACACATAAAGATCAAAATTTTAGCCACTCTCCAGTTTCCTACCTTTTGGGTGCAGGAGGGTGGCTTCTGCTGCCTGGGGCTGTTGGGAATTAGAGACTTGCTCTTCCGGTCCATGCTCTCTCCATCTCCTCTGCCTCTGGCAAGGCTTGGTGTGTGTTAGCTGGGAGGAAGTGACCGGCTGTCAATATTACAGGAGCTGTTAGCACTGCAGCGCATGACTGGGCCCCTGATGATATATGTCCATCAGGTGGTCCAAACTTCATGGGCCACCTGCTGGGACATCTCAGCCTGCAGGCCCCGGTGCAGTCGCACCGGCTGCACCAACGATAGTTCCGCCTCTGAGTATGAGAGAATAGCTCAGCGTGTCTGTATATGTACGTATATGAAAAGATGTGGCTACCCAACACAGAGGCCTTTGCATGCCAACTGTGGCACGTATGGCATATGTTTGCCATCGCTAGCGTAGGTGATATGGCTGGTGAGCCTGGGGATATTCTTCATTTAACACCTGTCATATTAGAAAAGTTGAGTGACTGGACCCCTTTCTTTTGTCTGGATATAGTAACACCTCTTGTGACTGTCACTCAGACAGCCACTAGTGTGACTTCCTGGGTTAGGTCCTGCAATGTTTGCAGGACGTACGTTCAATTTCTCCACTCTTTGCATGGAGACGCTGAAAGTTCCCCACATAGATGCAATGAATCAATGCATATCTATGAAGAGAAGCTGATTGACGGGGGAGGGGAGGGCACCTAAGTACTCCTACATCAGGAATAGATGTTTGTATTCCTAATGCTATAGCGTTACTTTAAGTTATGTTGTTCCCCAGAGTGTTCGTTTAACACTTGATACAACAAGACTAAAAGAAATAAAAACAAGACTCTCCTAATGCTACTGAACAATATATCCCATTATACACTATCACGACTATAAAATGTGTTAGTTTCCCGTTTGAAAAGCAAGCTTTTTCTTGGCAACAGGTTATAAGAAAGGGAGAATTTATTTTGACAGAACAGCAGATAACCTATGTTTCACTTATATGCTCTGTTAGATACTGCTGCAAGTTAACTGTAGACATAACTATATGCTTTTAATCACATTATTTTTATTCCTGCAGCAAAAACACAATTTCAAGGTCTCTAAACCAACAAGGACATCATTAACAGTGTTGCACGCTCAACATAAGTTTAAAGACAGCAAAAGAACTGAACCTCTAGGCCTAACCGTCTAAAACAGATTCCGGATTCTTTTCACATAACAAATTGAACAGAGGTCCCAACAGCAGATGCTGACTTGTACAGGATATTTACGTTTGGCTTTTTAAAGGCATAACCCTGTCAAACATTCCTGGGTTCAAAGGCCATAGGTTGAGTTGAAGTGAAAAAGTCTTTGCACGTATTGATCATGTGCATTTTTTTCCCCCCCAAAAGCCTGTTTTGTCTATATGAGAAGAAGCATATGGTATTTGTCAGAAATGTCATACATTGACCATACAGAAAAAGGAGAATTTATTCCTCTCTCCCCCTCCTCGAGGTTTTTAATCCATTCACCACCAGATCCGTTTGCCCATATGGCTTTGTTAAGTGTCTTGTTCTAGGAGCAATGAATAAGGCTTTTAACAGGCGATTGATTCTCTTGTCCCTGAACATACATAAGGCATGGATGGAGGCCTTCAAGGGACAGGAGATATAAAAGGCAGGAGATGTGTTTTGTTTTGCTGAGCACATCACTGTCTAGTGACCTTTAAAAGAGACTACTGTGTTGAAATCTTGCCTTGAAACACTAAGCAAGCTCATGCACTAAAGAATGTTAAAACTTCCAGTCCTGTGATTCCCTCTACTTTTTTGGTCTGAGGGTGGGGTGAATGCCTGCAGAGAAATAATTCCTTTTTTTGTGTTTTTTTGAGAGGTTTTCTTCACTTGCTTTTGCTTAATTATAGCCAGGTCCAAGCCACTGACACAGAGCAAAGTGGTCAATAACTGGAAACGCCAAAGACTGCGAGATTGCCACGCCTCGATGAGCCCTAAATACAGAGATTCCGTAGGGATGGTATTTTTACAAGACAAATTGAAGGGTTGCTCTTACTGTTGGAGATGAAAATTTGTATAAACAAAACAGCAAGACAAGTAAAACAAGTTATCTGGAAAAAATGGGAGCTGGCACCAAATCCTTCATAACAAAGACATTCAGACACGCTTGAAAGATTAAAGTGTGATTACGAAAAATATCACAAACCCATAACTTTCACCTGTGCAGTTTATTTAAGTAAAATACATTGTGGTGACAGGAGAAAACATAGAGAGATTTTAACCAATAAAAGAAAATTGTAGTGAATTGAAAATGGAATTGCAAAATGTGGGCAAAATATATTTGGTTACAGGTTTGATTTTAGTTGGAATTTTGCAATATGATTTTCGATTGAGTACAATTCTGTGTTTAGTTAATAAGCCCCATCATGAATAAAGAAAACAAAAAACGTTTGTTTTATTATCGTCCTAATGCAGCCAGAGTAAATGATGATCTGTCATCTCCTCCCTGTATATTCCGGCAGTCTTTCTTGCCAAGTGCTGTTTCACGGCAGTTTCTACGTGCCATATAGAATACCCGCTAGATTGTAAGCTTTATTGTGCATGTCCTTATTCACTGCTTGTGTCTGTCAATTGCTTGTTATTAAAAAAAACTCCTTTCTAAAAAATGCCTGAAAGGTGGCTTGCTGTTTTCATGGTAGGGTTGCAATACAATGTTGTAAAATCCTCACCAAAAAAGTGATATGTATGTGCACACTCACACATAAAACATTGTGAGGTATGAATGGAGAGCTAGGGATTGGAAGTGGCCAGGAGAGATGCCTATGTGATGAAATTAATTTCCAAGGGCCCGGTCAGCGCTGCGGCGCTTTAACAGCGCGACCAGGCCCCCTGTGATGACATCAGAGGCTCGGAGGAAGTGACTGCCCTTTTCACTTCCTCCCAGCAATCAGAGAGCTGCGCTGGAGGAAGAGAGGAGGGAGTCAGAGTGGGAACTCTGTCTCCCATCAGCCTGAGCCACTGGACCCCAGGGAAAGTTAAAAGGGCAGGAAACAGGAGGGTGACATTTTGCATGTCTCTGTGTGTGTGTGCATGTGTGTGTGTGTGTGTCTGTCTCTGTGTGTATGTGTGTCTGTATGTATGTGTCTCTGTATGTGTGTATGTCTGTGTGTGTGTGTGTGTGTGTGTGTTTTATGTGTGTGACTGTGTGTATGTGTGTACTTTGTATAATACCTAGACTATTATAAAAATATAGAGGGGATGTGAAATAAATCTATTACTGGCAAACGATATTAATTATGAGTATCTAATGAAATATTATTGTACTTTTTTTGTGGTGAGTCTGTATCAGAAATTTAGACATTATATAAAATAATATTTTTATGTCTTATAATGAGAATCAATTAGACTTTCAAAGCGTTCTCAAATAAGTAATAATTTCTTGTCCTTTTTCACTACCCACTAAAGACCAATCTTTTAGCTTTCTTTAACTTACTGGTATATCTGTTGCATTTAGGTAGGGCTCGGGTTTTGGGTCTTGCTGCTAGCCAATCCAGGACGAGATGGTCCACCGGAGCCAGGGGCTAGATTTGCTCAAGGCAGAACTTATTGGCTAGCACGTAGGTAGATTTCAAGCTCTTGATCTTGTAATAATTAAAGGGACACTGTAGGCACCCAGACCACTTCAGCTCATTGAAGTGGTCTGGGTGCCAACTCCCATCACCCTTAACCCTGCAAGTGTAATTATTGCAGTTTTTATAAACTGCAATAATTACTTTGCAGGGTTAAGTCTTCCTCTAGTGGCTGTCTACCAGACAGCCACTAGAGGGACTTCTGGCTTCTTAGATGACTTTGGTCATCTAAACGACGCTGGAAGTCCTCACACTATGCATGAGGACCTCCAGCGTCGCCGGAATTCCCATAGGAAAGCATTGAATAATGCTTTCCTATGGGGAGGTCTAATGCGTGCGAGCTGTCTAATGCATGCGAGTGGCCATTGCTGCGCATGCGCATTAGGTCCGAGAGCGTGGGTTGAGCTGAACCATCGGTACTGGATTCAGGTAAGTGTCTGAAGGGGTTTTAACGTGGGATGGGGGGCAGGAGGGAGGGGGGCACTCCAGGATTCTCTAGTGCCAGGAAAACAAGTTTGTTTTCCTGGCCCTAGAGAATTCCTTTAAATAATACTCCATTAAACTTTGTCATTATGGCACTTTTGACTGATTTCCCAGACCACAACAGACAGCCACTAGAGGGACTTCCAGACGTGTAGGCGACTTTTGGTCCAGCGCCACCGGCATCCATGTAGGAAAGCGTTGAATAATTCTTTCCTATGGGGAAATCCTAATTCGAGTGCGGCCATATGGTATCCCCGCCTGCTGATGTCGGCAGGGTAGGAGTGAAGGCAGACCCAAGCCAGCGACGAGGGACATCGGCGTTGGACTCAGGTAAGTAACAGAAAGGGTTATTAACAGAGGGGGAAGCTATAGTGCCAGGTAAATGAGTTTGTTTTCCTGGCACTTTAGTTTCCCTTTAAGCAAATACCTTGACTCAGGGTGTAGTTCTATAAGAACACTATCTTCTGTTCTAACAACTTTGTATCAGAATCAAACCTCACAGCCTGGAGTTTTTTGTATCAAACCTGTTTCTTCCTAGTTATTGCTGCCCCTCCTACAGGGCCTCTTAAGTGTCCCCATTTGGGGATTGATTAAGGGAGTTTTTTTAATGTATTTTATATTTCATTCATTTAGGCACAATAAACCTTTTATTGGCTGTATAAGTATGCAGTAAGAATATTATTGCACACCATATTTTATGATTTTAATTGTGATTATGTGTTTTGTAGTGATTATACGTTTTGAATGAGAAACACTTATGGTGCTGAATGAAAAGTTAAAGTAATATTTACACTTAAAAGCACTTTTTAATCATATTTGCACATGTTTTTTAGAAGCATCGTTTGAAAGTTTAGAACAAATTGTATGCACTTTATTAATAAAAAGTCAGCACCAATTATCACTCATTATTTTATTGGTTTAGTTCTACACATAGGTATGCTGTACACGTTTTTGTCTTAAGGTAACAGTTATTGATACTGCACGCTTGAAATAAACATACAATGAAAATAGTCTACTTATAAAAGCGTTAAGCAGTTTTATTAATATATTTAATCATGCTTAACGTGGGACTTGATGTTAGTGTCATTTGTGTAATACTTTGAATTACCGTTTAATTCCTGCTCTCTGAACTACTTATATACCATGTGCTAAAAATATTTTTAAATGTATCTAACATCTACAGGTGCAAAAGTTCATTTATTTCAGTAATGCAACGTAAAAGGGGAAACTAATTTATGAGATAAACGCACTACACGCAAAGCAAGATAGTTCAAACCGTGATTTGTCATAAGTGCGATGATTATGGCTTACAGCTCATGAAAACCCCAAATCCACAATCTCAGTAAATTAGAATATTACATGCAATCAATAAAACAAGGAGTGTACATAGAACAATATCGGACCTCTGAAAAGTATAAGCATGCATATGGACTCAGTACTTGGTTTGGGCCCCTTTTGCAGCAATTACTGCCTCAATGCAGCGTGGCATGGAAGCTATCAGCCTGTGACACTGCTGAGGTGTTATGGAAGACCAGGATGCTTCAATAGCGGCCTTCAGCTCTTCTGCATTGTTCGGTCTCATGTCTCTCATCTTTCTCTTGGCAATGCCCCATACACTCTCTATGGGGTTCAGGTCAGGCGAGTTTGGTGGCCAGTCAAGCACAGTAATCCCACGGTCATTGAACCAGGCTTTGGTGCTATTGGCAGTGTGGGCAGGTGACAAGTCCTGCTGGAAAATGAAGTCAGCATCCCCATAAAGCTCGTCTGCGGAAGGAAACATGAAGTGCTCCAAAATCTCCTGGTGGATGGCTGCATTAACCCTGGACTTAAAGGACCACTCTAGGCATCCAGACCACTTCAGCTTAATGAAGTGGTCTGGGTGCCAGGTCCAGCTAGGGTTAGCCCATTTTTTTTTATAAACATAGCAGTGGGTTAAGCCTTCCCCCAAAGCCTCTAGCGGCTGTCTCATTGACAGCCGCTAGAGGCGCTTGTGTGATTCTCACTGTGAAAATCACAGTAAGAGCACGCAAGTGTCCATAGGAAAGCATTGATAATGCTTTCCTATGCGACCGGCTGAATGCACGCGCAGCTCTTGCCACGCGTGCGCATTCAGCCGACGGGGAGGAACGGAGGAGGATCGGAGGCAGAGAGCTCCCTGCCCAGCGCTGGAAAAAGGTAAGTTTTACCCCTTTTCCCCTTTCCAGAGCCGGACAGGAGGGGGTCCCTGAGGGTGGGGGCACCCTCAGGGCACTATAGTGCCAGGAAAAAGAGTATGTTTTCCTGGCACTATAGTGGTCCTTTAATGAAGCACAGTGGACCAACATCAGCAGATGACATGTCTCCCCAAATCAACATAGACTGTGGAAACTTCACACTGGGCTTCAAGCATCTTGCAATGTGTGCCTCTCCATTCTGCCTCCAGACTCTGGGTCCTGGGTTTCCAAATGAGATGCAAAAGTTGCTCTCATCAGAAAAGATGACTTTGGACCACAGAGCAACAGACCAGGTCTGTTTTTCTTTAGCCCAGGTAAGACATTTCTGACGTTGTTTGTTGTTCAGGAGCGGCTTGACAAGAGGAATAAGACATCTGAAGCCCATGTCCAGGACCCGTCTGTGTGTGGTGGCTCTTGATGCACTGACTCCAGCCTCAGTCCACTCCTTGTGAAAGTCCCCAACACTTTTGAATGGCCTTTTCCTGACAATCCTCTCCAGGCTGCGGTCATCCCTGCTGCTTGTGCACCTTTTTCTTCCACACTTTTCCCTTCCACATAGCTTTTTATTAATGTGCTTTGATACAGCACTTTGGGAACATCCAACTTCCTTCGCAATTACCTTTTGAGGCTTTCTCTCCTTATGGAGGGTGTCAATTATGGTTTTCTGCAGAACTGTCAGGTCAGCAGTCTTCCCCATGATTTTGATTCCTACTGAACCAGACAGAGACCATTTAAAGGCTCAGAAACCCTTTGCAGGTGTTATGGCTTACTTAGCTGATTAGAGTGGGACACTGTGAGACTAGAATATTGCACCTTTTCACAATATTCTAATTTACTGAGGTTGTGGATTTGGGGTTTTCATGAGCTGTAAGCCATAATCATCGCACTTATGACAAATCACGGTTTGAACTATCTTGCTTTGCATGTAATGCGTCTATCTCATATATTAGTTTCCCCTTTTACGTTGCATTACTGAAATAAATGAACTTTTGCACATTATTCTAATTTTTCGAGTATCACCAGTAAATACAAAATCAGGTTCTTTCTGGGAAAATACTTCTTGGCATAAATTATAGAAAATACGTGGAAATGTATGATTTAGAATGGTTTTAAAATGTTGGCTCTGAAGCAGTCAGTACATTCACTCCCTTTATTTGACCATGCTTTTGTGTCTTACGTATCTGATCAATTATATATTTTTAAATTTCTCTGGATATTATGTACTTTCTTTCTGTGCATCCTAGAATGAAGTGAAAAAGCATTCTTAAAATAAAAAGTTAAAGAAACACTCTTTTATGTAGTGTTTATGGTGCCCAGAGAGCCTTGGTGCGGTCCCACAGCCAGATGTCAAATTGTTTTAATATGGTGTGACAACCTACCTTTGTCTCATCTGTTGCCTGTGTTGCATACCCTGCATCAAAATGTTTCCAGTAGAGCAAAGCAAGGCCACGCTTGATTGCACCCATTGCCAGAGAGCATCGGACGAGCACTCGGAGTCAAAAAGCGCAGTCCTGCATCGGCCATGCTTTGTTTTACAGAGAAATTGGTGTTCTCCTGCTGGAGAACAGAGGATGCCGCTACAGGCACTCAATAGGACCCAGGTAAGTTGTCAAACCATAAAATGGGCAGAAGTGGTTATGGTGCTTTGAGTGTTCCTTTACAGTTTAAAAAAAAAAAAAAAGTCTACAACACAACTTTTTCTTTCCCTTTTATCGGAGTCGTTTTGTTCAGTTTATATAGATTTCTGTTTCATAGATTCCCTGTTAAATGGTACATCCTAGTTATATAATTAGATTGAGAAAGAAAAAAAAAAGTACATCTTATTTCCAAGTAGAAAAGCCAATAATTAATATAGGATTAAACACTTATTGGGAATGCAAAATAAATTGCAAATTCTAGACCAAAACAGCTGATCTAGCAAAATTGTGGCCTAAAATTTAAAGCCCTTTATATTGCCAACAATTATTACTTCGATGAAAAACCTTGTTGGCTTCTTTTTTCTTCTGCGACTATTAATTTTTATAAACTGGTCTACTTATATGCTTTCCTATTCTTCGTTTAACTGGCTTGATGAATGCATTTCTGAATCAAAATTTTGCTTGTTTTGTTTGCTACGTGAAGAGTCAGTGTAGCTGAACTACAGTTCCTCTGGATCTTACTTCTTCTAAAAAGTAAACATTTTGCCAGAGGCCGAGTAAAAATTGAAAAATATGTTGAATGATTATTCCAAGAATGTCTACAACTGGAGGAATGTAAATACAGTGACTAGAATGTCCCTTTAATCGGATCAAAATTCCATAGTTCGTTAAATTTTTCTGGCCTTATATATTTAGATTTGCCCCACAAGAGCCACAAATGCCAAGACTGCTACTGTAATTCACTTACATTAATCACTAATGCACATCGCCTTAACAGCTGTTCAATGGCAGTCAGTCATTTGCCAGGCCGTATTAAGCATTTTTTTTTTTCTTGAAAGAATATTAGGACGTGGAATCTTAGCTGAGATTCCTAAAGCTGAAATTTCCTCATCCATCATCACACACACACACACACACACACACACCAGATTTACGATATAGGGAACTAAATAGCTAAACTATACCATTTAGTGTTGAAATGATGAAGACAATCAACACAATGGGTCTTTCACTTCATTCCAAACACAAAGCCAATTCAGTTAGTGGATTTATGTACTGGAAACAGGAAACCAATGCCACGGCATTGTAGTGCGCGTCAATGAAAAGTTCGAGGTGTGAACAGACATGATAGAGTTTCTTTGTTTCAACTCAAAGTCTTTTAGAAGAATCCTATCACAAAACGGACCACCAGTAAGTGTACTGACCATGTCTTACTTAGGCCAAGAATGAACGAGCGGAACAGTGAGCACATCCCTTTCTAGAACCCAGAAATGCATAACCCATAGAGGAATCAGGTCTGGACAGATTTAGTTTGTGTAGGACCCACCTACATTGGGGTACCGTCAGGTAGTGGTGGCCACAACACAATAAGGCCATATGGTGGAACTGAATCCCCATATTTTGTTTGCCGAAATGTAATTTTAAGTAGCCTTATAAAATTGTAAAAATTGCATTTGTATGTGTATGCTGTTCTTTAACCTCTTAAGGACCAAACTTCTGGAATAAAAGGGAATCATGACATGTCACACGTCATGTGTCCTTAAGGGGTTAACCTGTATTATGGGCAGATTTACTGACATCTTAAACTTTCATGCCAAACGTACCTTTCTCCATTTGTTTCCTCTTCTCTTCCTCTCTCAGAATCGATTCTTTTCTTTATTTCTGATCTAGTTTTCTTTAAAACATAAGACAAAGCAGGGACTACGCTTGACCTTCTTTGACCAAGGGAGTAGTTTGTCAGCTCCATACGTTCCATAAGCTCCTCCCTTGGTCAAAGAAGGTCAAGCCTAGAAAAAAAATACATAAGACAAAGTCCCTATTTTGTCTTACGTTTTAAAGAAAACTAGATCAGAAATAAAGAAAAGAATTGATTCTAAGAGAGGAAGAGAAGAGGAAACAATAGGAGAAAGGTAAGTTCGGCATGACAATGCCACTTTAGGTGTTAGCAAACCATGCATCAAGAACATGCCATGTAGATATAGCTACAAGTCATGCAAATCATCTCCCCAAAGCCAAGGACAGCCATCATTTAATTAAAACGTTCCCAATGCTATTTGAAGGACAAAGTAAAAATTAAGACAATGGCACATTATTCTTCAATGCAGAAAATAACATTTATAATTAAAAAAAAAAAATAAATATTATGTGAAGTACATATTTTTACGAAGCAACTTTTGTTTTGTTTTTTTATACAGAGGCATAGAAACATCATAAGAGCATTTTCATAGATCAATTTGGTAATAAAACAATGTACAAAGTACAGCAAAAAAAACTGCTGAAACATCAGGACATGTAGGTTTAAAGTTCAAATGCAAATACACAAGAGTACAGTTGTGACTCAAACATTCTTTATTAAGAGAGGGTAGTCTTAGAGACGTGTTATGTGAATCAGGAAGAAAGTAAAGTTTACCAGGTCGTTCAGAAAAGCGGTTATTATACAGTTATTATGTCTCCTATTTACATTGTAAATAGCTGTATATATCTTGCACACACACCAAGTTAATAATATGCATTTGTATACACACCCACACGCTTGAAGTGTTTAATTTGCCCAGATTTGTGGACACTAAAAAGACACTATAGTCACCAAAACAACTTTGGCTTAATGAAGCAATTTTTGGGTATGGATCATGCCTCTGAAGTTTTACTGCTCAATTTTCTGCCATATAGGAGTTAAATCACTTTTGTTTCTGTTTATGCAGCTCTAGCCAAGCATCCCCTGGCTGGGACTGATGCAGCCTACATGAAAACAAAATGGTTTCATTTTCAATCAGATGTAACTTACTTTGAAAGTTTTTATCTCCTGCTCTGTTATTTGAAAATTAATTACATACAGGAGGCTCCTATGGGGTTAAGAAAGCTATGAACAGAGCAAGAAATAAGAAATTATAAATCAAAACATTTGCAATAAAGGAAGTGTAAACATTAGAGGACTCTTTACAGGAAGTGTTTAGGAAGGTTGTGTAAGTCACATGCAGGGAGGTGTGCACAAAGTGATTTAACTCCTGAAAGGCATAGAATTGAGCAGCGAGACTGCAATGGCATGATCTATACACCAAAACTGCTTCATTAAGAGAACTTTAAGAGAATTTGTTTTGGTGACAATAGTGTCCCATTAAAGTGTACCTAATAAGGTTTATCTCCCTATGCGTTTTAAAACAAAGAGGAACATGACATGACTGTAGAATTTCTAGCCAATGTAAAAAATAATTTTTTAATAAAAAAATATAAATAAAAATGGTCCCTGTCCTCATTTGTCAATCGGTTATTGGCACAGAACTGCATACTGCGGTTGTAGTGTTCTATGCTGTCAGAACTGACAATGAAGAGTAATAGAACCATACCACATAAGTCTCTACTGCTTTCCATCACAGCCACTACAGCGCAAACACTCTAGTTGCTGTGATAACTCCTCTAGCAAGCACCTTCTGCTTTAGCAATAAAAGTATAGAAATGGAGGGATAGTTGATGCAATGTTCGCAAGTGTATGTGCTGGTAATGAAGACTTTGTGTCTGTTTCAAAGGGGAGCATCTATATGCATATGATAGTGCTCCCAAGCAGTGCCGTCCACATAGGAGATGGGTGGGAGAAGGGAGGACTTTGTTCTGGTTGCTGTGGCACGCTAGAGAGGAGGCGAGTATTAAATACTCAGTTCAATCCTTCTTGCTCATCCTCCTACCTCGGAATTTCCCGCTCCTGAAGTTATTTTAAGCCTTTCACTAGAATATTAAAACATGGAATACATCCTAATAGATTATATGCACTCTCCAGCAGTCTGAACAGCACCATTTATAGATGAAATGGTATTTTCTAAAAACGCAATAACAAGGTATACTTTAAATTATATTCCACGTGAACGTTTCTTTGAAAATCGTTCACATTTAATAATGATAATTTGTACCAAACTTGTCCACAGGAAACATGATACTTTTTGCTCATATTTTCATGGAGATGTTAGCAGCCATACATAGCACAATGAAAGGTTCTGTAAAGTGGATTACTTCTTAAAAGTAACACAAACACTGACTTTTTTTTCCACACTTTATGTCTATATTTAAATGGGAACATTATTTTACAAGCATTCTTCAATAAGCAATATTTATCCAGAGGTAAAACAAAACCAATTTTCAAATATCTTCCTATTGCTTTGGCACGAATCTGTGTACCCCACTTGTGTATTTAAAAATGGACATCATATTCACAAATAATCTATTTACAAAAAAAAAAAAAAATAAGGAAATATATTCTCTGTTTCAATAATAGTCTATAAAAAGAAATTTCTATGAAAATTATTACAGATATCAGGTCCAACAGCCTGTGGTAAAATTTCCTCATTTTCTTCCAAAAAAATATTTGTCACTTTTTTTGCCATCACCCACATAATATGAAACTATTATTTTTGCTTTCTAAAATTCCACTTGCTTTTGAAAATAAATATTGTAGTGTAAATTTGTGCAACTATTGTGAATTTTCATGCTTTTCCTTTACAATTTTTAGAACTTTTGACTTTACCACATCCAACCTAATCTGAAATAAATCCATCAGTCACAAAACTGCTACTGTAAAATAAAAATTCTATGTTGAACCAAATTTGGCAGTGTACGCCAGCCACTCAAGATCCTGTGCACTATATGTACCACGATGCTCTGCCCGACAGTAGGTGGTAGAGAATTATGGGAGATTCGATTCATAGCATATGGAATGCTAAATGTTGCTTAGCTGAGAGGCTGAAGCCAGAAGGAGAGACTCTCCCCTACAGGAACGCATATGACAAAAATTAGGGTATGTGTAATAATTGTAGTACAATATAGCACTTTAATACAATAATAAAACTGCACAGGGACTTAATAAAATAATAATTTGACAAAAATAATAGTTTCCCTCTCTCACATTCCTTATAGTCTTTCATAATAATCCAAAATGCAAAAAACCATACCTAAACAGCGGCCTTCTGACATTACTATAAATTACATTTTTATTATAACAAACACTGGGAGATGGGAAAGAGGGCAAAACCATTAACTAGAATAAGTTTACAAAAGTGAGTTAAGTGAGTTGATGTCTCAGCTCTCAAAATAAAATCCACACTAGGGCCAAAAATATCAAGGGAAGGAGGAGTCCATATAGAGTCCGTTGCTTCTGTACTTAGCATGTCCCTTGTTTAACAAAGTAAAAGAAAAAGAAAATGGTATCTACTTTATTTTCCTTAAAAAAGTTTGATCCCATTGCAATTGTTGACCTTGGTGCGGTCACTGTAGTCTTACAGTCAAGAAAGCAAAAATAAGAAAAAGTTTTTATAAGGCTTCTTTCATTCCTATACTCCAATTTCATCATCAATGTCCTCGTCGAATGTGTATCCCTGTCCCGCTTCTTCATCATCGTCCTCTTCATCCTCTTCTTCCACCTCAACATGGTGATTTCTACGTAAACTGTGTTCATGCTGCTGTGGACTATCTGCAATACCTTCATAAATAGACCGTTTTTCTTCTTCGCTGTCCTCTTCATACGCCGAACTGTTTTCCTGCAGTTTTTCCGACATGGTGCTGGTATTATAGTCCATAGCAGAATTTACAGCAGGAAGAGTACTGGACTGACTACAATGGATTTCTTGTGGTTCCACAGCAGAAGATATGTGTTTTTCGTTATCTGGAGCATGGACAGGGGAGAACTTGTAGCCAAAATTGCATTGGTCATCTGGGCTATTCCAGTCGGAGGTGGGGTCATCTCTGTCCATAACTCCTAATACTTCATCCAAGATGGAAGGACCAAGGTCAAGATGGAAGGACAGCATTGACTCGGCATGCTTCAGCCCACAGTCACTGTCAGGTGAGAGCCAATCAAACTGATCAGGCTGTCTACCACTGTTGCTAGTATTCCACAGGCTATCATCTTTGGATGGCACATTATTAACAGGACTAGAAGAGACACTTCCCGCACCAGAGCCTATTCCAGATGACTGTGAAAGTTGACTAAGAGAGTCAGCCATTTTGGTTTCTTCGTGTTCCTTAGAAATGGTTTTTGTGAGACCATTCTTGCTGGGTGCCTGGGCATCCACAGCTGGGGCCGGGGAAGGGCCATGGTTGCTAAGAAAGGAGGTGTCTCCAAACACATCTCCCCCTCTTCCGACATGCATTGTGTGTCTAAAGTCTCCAAGAGGAGCGCTAATCATCTCTCGATCAATGCGGGTTCGTTTCTTTGTGTGTGAACTTGACTGCTTGAGGATTGGCATCTTGGCACAGGATCTGCAACATAAATAAATAAAATGAATATCGGAATAAGGAAGCAATACTTGAAATCTACAAAATTTTACCAGTTTTTCTATCACAGGGCTGTCCAACCTGTGGCCCCCCAGATGTTGCTGAACTACAACTCCCATGATTCTTTCAATTAAAAAGATAGCCAGGGAATCATGGGAGTTGTAGTTCAGCAACATCTGGGGGGGCCGCAGGTTGGACAGCCCTGTTCTATCAACATACCACATAAATCGATTGTTAAAGCGACAAATAAAAAAAAAAATATGCTAGCATGGACTAGTTAGCATATACTAACTTTGACATATGGCATAATCACAGTTTTGTAAACTTATACGGAGATAGGAGGAAATGCACACAATGCAAACACAATATTTTTAAAGGCAGTTGGTCTTAATATAGCGCCTCATCAGAAAAGCTATATCATGAGAGCAGCTGCTCTCCTTCAACCACAATCACAACAAACAATTCAACTCACACAATAAATGAATGCTTTAAAATCTCTGTTCACTTAATTTGGTCACATCTGGGTAAAATAAAGAAACAAATAAAAATAAGTGACTGTATTAAAGCCCAGTGCAAAGAGTCCTCTAAGACTACTATTGACAAACCTGGTTGCTCTTAAAAAACCTCAATAGCCATTTTAGCAATTAGCTTGGAAGGAATCCACACACTGATTGACTTCAGACTGGACTTGCACCCCCTCCCCCCCAGCCTATTATGCACGCATCAGTTATTTTTCGTCAGCCGACCTTGGTTCTTCTAGTTTATCAAATATGAGAACTGTGCGCAACGCACAAACACAAAAAACACTACTTGGCAAACTAACAGAAAGCAAAGAATAAAAAAACGGTTAAAATACAACGTAGCTTTGTTCACGGTTTTCAATGGATTCACTAATTCATGATATCTTCTATTTCTTATAAAAAGTGATTTTGATCTTGATTTACAATTTGAGAATAATTTCAGGCTCTGAATGGAACATTACTATGGCACACAGAGTGTGAGTTCCTCCATTGTGAGTAGGAGAATTATACTATGCAACATATTCAAGAGAAGTGAACGTGAACGATTTGAAAAAAAGTGTAAAATATTTTCAAAGTCCTATTGTAACAATGCAATGTTTTGTGGACCCAGCACATACTTGAAAACGAGAGAAATCTCAATGTATCTTTCCTGGTAAAATATTTTATGAATAAATAAATTTGCTCCAGATGATTGATCTATCATGTCTGGAATACAGCACAGAAACCTAATACTTCAATATCAGAAAGGGACAGGTCTTTCCTCAGAAATCGCACATAGTAACTGTAAAATAATTGACTTGGGTTATGGTTTCTTGGGTACAAAGCTGGCTGGACACCTATAATCAAACACGGAGGCTTCTAGTAGTGATAAACTCATATACTCAGAGGGAGTTTATTCACAAGTTCTCACTGGCTTTGCTTTTTCCTTTCTATTCAGTCAGACGTCAGGAGTTAGCAGCACTGTAACAGTCCCACCAGTGTTTTTTAGTATTCAATATAATAGTCAGTGCAAGGAATTCTAATTTAGCTCAAGAATTTCAGAAATTAGTTTTGGGAGAAAAACTACAAAAAAGTCCTTCGTATAGCAGCTCGTATCACATTGCTTAAACAAACAAAACATGAATGACAAAGCCATGATGCCGAGGGGAAAGGGCACACCTCGTCATTAACATATCATGTCAAAAGGCAATACACCTTTAACAGATCACATTGCTTTATAAAAATAAACCTGTTGGCTGCCTATGTGAGCCACGACAATGAAAGTTCTTCCGGTAGAACTTGGAAGTACGAAATTCTTTCAAGTAACCAGTTCTAAGCATAGCACAAACACAATGCAGTGTATTGGCTCAAAAGTCACTGGAGTAAAAAAAAACAAAAAAAAACACATAGTATGTCAGCTAATGGAATGATACAACTTCAAGGACACAAGGAAAGAACAAAAGAAACTACAAAGCAAATTTGCAAACCAAGTTCTTAGAGACAGTGCACATATAATTATATATGATGACTTGTACATAGCACGGCCACTCCGTCTCCAGCCTCAGTTATTTCATGTTGAAATTCCATTAAACTTAAAGTGCCTGTCACTCTCTATGGTCCTCACATAAGCTTCATCTGCCAGGAGCCCACGTCTGTGTTCATGTAGGAGAGTACAACACTGAGATTTATGGAAGATCTCACAAGACAGCAAGATCCTCCACAGACCGAGCCTTTTTTGCTACAGCCGTGAGTGGTGATGGCTGGGAAATAACAAAACTTGAGGGAAAAACCCCCCAAAAACCTAGAGACTAAAATGGGAGAAGGGATGTGTGCATGCACATCAGCACGCAAGTTAGCTATCCAATGTGTAGAAACCTGGTGAAGTGCTCTTGCATGAGCACAAATAGCGCATTTTGGCCTAGAGAGCGTTTCCCAATTGGTGTTCCGCAAGAACAAAATTAGGGTCCTGTGGCAATTTGCCCGTCGGTTGGCCCAAGTATTTAGAGCCACCCGATGGGTATCGCTAATCAGGAGTCCGGTCAGGTGCCTCGGCCGGACCCCTGTCGTATGGGATGCTGGGAGGAAGTGACAGCTCCCTGTTAAAGCACCAGCTGGAGGAAGAAATGGAGTAGCTGGTATGGAGCACCTAGCACACCAGCCTCAGTCAGCAGCACTGAAGGAAGAAAAAGGTAAGTGACTAGGGACCAGTGTTTTTTTGTTTTTACAATTTATCATCATTCATTTCAGCCACTAATCAAATATAAACGTGTGTGTGTGTGTGTGTGTGTGTATGTGCCAGTTTGTGTATCTGTGTGTCAAGGTGTGTGTATGTGCCACTAGGTGTGTATCGGTGTCAGTGTGTGTATATGACTGTATGTGTTGGTCTGTTTGTTAATTAATGTGCAAGTATGTATGTGGCAGTACATGTACAGACATCCCAGCAATCAAACACCACACACACCCCTGCAAACACAAACATGACATAAAAAGAAACCCCTTAACTGTAACTCCAAAATTATATACAAACACCAATACTACATACAAATGTACATCTGCATTTAAAACCCAACACTACAACCAAACACACCTTTGCACGCAAATACAAACATTACATACAAACACATCCCTGTATTAAAATGCTAAAGTTATATACAAACACTAATGCTACACACAGGAGCACACCTGCTCCTAAGTACAACAATCTGTTTACTATTTGTAGAAATTAGTGTGTGTGTATATATACATACACACACACACACTAATTGGGAACACCTGGCTTAGAGCAATGTGAGTAAATTTAACACACAATATTGTATTGTGTCTCCAAAGTGAAAGCTGGGAGGTATGTTACTGGAAGCTGCACGTCTGCTTTAAAAAATAAAAACACCTATAAATTTTTTTGTAAAAAAAAAAAAAAAAAAAAAAGTTATGGGACTTTTTTTATACAATTACCTCTCTATATTTTCTTTTAAATAGATCAAAAAGGTATCTACACATCACTGTCAGTTTAAGTCACTATCTCACATGCACAGCCCTTCCCATGCTAAAAGATGAAAGGGGGAAAGAAAATAAATCATAAGTGACTAGGGACCAGTGTTTTTTTTTGGTTTTACAATTTATCATCATTCATTTCAGCCACTAATCAGTGCAACAGATTAGTTCAGGTCACATTTTTCAACTTAAAAACATCTCATCACAGTTTGATACAGAACAGCTGAGTCTCATCAAGCATGACAGACACTTGACTACCATGAGTTGCACATTATCACCAGGCAAGTGGTTCTAGAGCCAAGTGGAAAAGTCTAAAAAACATCCCAGAGACAGGGGATCCAACGTAATAGGGAGAAAATAAATACATAAATGTTAAAAAGCAAAAAACTAAAATAAATAGAGAACTGTAGAATTCTGTGCTACTTCACATAGGTTTTAATATAATAAGGAGCAAAAATTTGGTAAAAATGATTATAGATGACATGACTGACTAACAAGAGTCTATGAGGTAATTTCTCAACAGGTAAAAAGGACTAAACAAATTGTTTTTAATCCATCTTGGGTTAATAGAACAAGCTAATAATTTATCTATTCTGTATGTTTTTATTTTCCCTTGATTGATGCTGTCCTGGTATGGCTTGGCATTTATTACAAATTACAAAGTCTCCCATAATTGCTTGCAAAATGTTAATGAAGATGAGGGTACCCACCACCTGTGATGTAGGGGATGTACATTTACAGAGTTACCACAGTAAACCGCTTCATACAACAATAATAGGACAGGCTCATTTAATATACAATGTTACACTGTTTGCCATATTTTGTGTCTTAGTTCAGCAGAATCCAAGAGTCCTGCACCAGAGATGAAGATCTTGAAATATTTACTAAGGATTGACCACAAAGTCTTTACGACTCTATTATTCCTCTCTGTGGGTTTTTTACAAGGTCCCACAAAAATCCCAAGCTCCATCAGGAAATAACTGCACATAACAAAACACATTTCACCTTATGACGACAATAAGTATCCAAAAACCATGGTTTAGTTATACAGAAGCGGACCCTTTTCTCAGACAATGTTAGACATTGTGATTTCTCAGAAATGTCAATGTTTACATTTGGGTTAAAACAAGCCTCCAGTGTCTGTAAAGACAGTCGTCTTCTACTAGAGGCACTTCCTCCATAAAACCTTCACATTTGAAAAGTTCTTTATATTCGACAATTTTTATATTTGACAATATTTGCAGTCTGGGAAAACATCAAAGCACTGAAGATTGCTGCTTTTAACATGCAGAGTAGGCTACGGTGGTACCCCTATAAATCATGTGCCTCTAGACAGATGCCAACATCACTCAGAAATCTGGCCCAGGCTTTCAGGGAAAGTCTACTGAAAATGATACTTTTTATTTTATGCATTGACATACTAAACGATTATATTTTTCTGAAATGCAAGAGTTATTCTAGTCATTTTATCCTGTTTTGCAAGGTTTAATTTGGGTGTTCTCCTCCAGAAGGGTTAAAAATTAAGTCTGAGATTAATTAACATTCCTATTCAATCAATTCCCCATTGCTCAAATATTAACCATTATAGTTCAGCCTCAACACCAGTACACCCCAATTAACCTATTCCTAACGTCCAGACCATAGATCCATTATACTGGCATCTCTCATAGTTACATAGCTGAAACGAGACTTGCGTCCATCAAGTTCAGCCTTTCTCACATGTGTTTTTGCTGTTGATCCAAAAGAAAGCAAAAAAAAAAAAAAAACCCAGTCTGAAGCACTTTCAATTTTGCAACAAACACCTTCTTGACCCCAAAATCTAAGTCAGATATCTCCTTGGATCAAGCAGCTATTACCCCACTAATAAGAAATGATATCCCTGCATATTATGTTTTTGCAAGTATTTATCCAATTGTTGTTTAAAAATCTTCAGGCAGAGAATTCTACATCCTTATAGTTCCTACTATTAAAAAAAAATAAAAAAAAAATTATATATATATATATATTAAATAAAAAAAATTTAAAAAAAAGAAGTCGCTTTTCTTTAAATTAAATCTCCTTTCTTCCAGTCTAAATCCGTGACCTCGCATACATCTAATATCTTTATAGCAGGAACGGACTTCCTGGCTTCATAACCTACTTTCAATATAACGGACGCCCCTCACATCTTAGTTACTCTGTAATGCTACTCATATATTCAGACAGATCTCTTAGTTCACATCCCTGGTCACAGCACAACTGACAATCCTCACACCTAATTCCCCTGTACAGTGGCTCGGACGGATTGCTAGGCTTGCTGAAGTAAAATGCACAACTCACACATTAAAGGGACTCTCCAGGCAGAGGATTTTACTTACCTGGTTACAGCGCCGGGAGCCTCGTGAAGCCGCGCCCCCTATTTCGTCAAAATGACGAAATAGGTGGGCGCGAGCAGGGAGCAATCAGACGCTTCCATTTGGAAGCGTCATTGTTCCCTTATGTGCATGTGTGTCTTTGCCGCACATACTTCATAGGGTGGCATTTATGCCGCCCTCTGAAGTCCTGAGCACACTACTGGGCATGCGCGGTGTGCGCGGCCGCGAGCTGACAGCTCAGCTCGTGGTCTTTGCCCGCCCCCTCTCCTCTGCTAACAGGCAGGAGAGAGAAGGCGTGCACACAGTGCCTTCTCTCTCCTGCACACGTCAGACGTATTTTAATACGTCTGACGTGTACAAGGCCCTTTTTAGGGCCCTACATGATAAGAAGTCCCTCTGGTGGCTGTCTAAGTGACGGCCACTGGAGGTATTCCTATCAATGAAAACACTGTATTTTCTCTGAAAATACAGTGTTTACATTAGATTGCCTGCAGGGAGCTATAGATCTCACCTGAACAACTACATTAAGCTGTAGTTGTTCAGGTGACTATAGTGTCCCTTTAAGTTTCTTTGCTCAGATGCCTCAGGCACCCATAGCTGTAAATTGTCTCTAATATCAGACCAAACTCTAAATCTCACCCTTGTAAAGCATAGTTAATCTCCTTGTGCATAGATACATTGTAGTTAATCTCCTTTTCAACATTTAATTCATCTGCTAAAAGCATTTTAATTCTGCAAATCTGGACTTTATGAAAAAGGATATTTCTGGAGGAACGGTATTGGTCTTTGGGTTATAATTGTGGAAGTGAAAGTTCACAACTCAGTCAATACAATTTCAAGATCAGTTAATACTGAATATTTTAGAATTGTCTTTTCTTTCTCCCAACATTCTGCATTCAAATGTATCAAGTCCTTTAACCCCTTAAGGACACATGACATGTGTGACATGTCACGATTCCCTTTTATTCCAGAAGTTTGGTCCTTAAGGGGTTAATGGACTCATGTATTTCAATTAATGCAAGTGCTTCCAAAGTAATAACCTTTCAAATATTCTTAAAGTTGTGTCCATCCTTTCATGCAAGTTCTAACAAACCAAAAAAAAAAACAAAAAAAACACCCACCCCAAGCATATGCTTACTTAGTACACATAGTAATCAATCATGGAGTTTGTGCTAGTAGATTTCTTGTGCCAAGCTCGGTTATAGAAATCAAAATACACGTATGAAACACTGTAAGACAATGTGATGACATGGGAATTATACTGATGTTTAGAATAGTTAAAGGACCACTACAGTGTCCAGCCTCTAGTGGCTTTCTCACTGCCAGCTGCTAGAGGCGCTTCCGCAATTCTCACTGTGAAAAATCACAGTGAGAAGACGGTGGACGTCCATAGGAAAGCATTGAGCAATGGTTTCCTATGGGCGGTTTGAATGCACATGCCCATTCAGAGCTGACATCTGCTGGGGGAGGAGCGGTCAGCAGCGCCAAGGGAGCCCAGGGCTGGATTAAAGTAAGTGGCTGAAGGGGTTTTTACCCCTTCAGCCCAGTGGGAGGGGGGCACCTAATATCCCGGTAGTGCCAGGAAAATAAAAAAGTTAAGCAATGTCAAGAAAACCTTAAAAGGGACACACGGAGCATTATGCTTGGAGGCTCAAAACCTTTAGTTTACCCTGGTATAAAGTCAACACTATTCATAAGTACCGTGTGCACTTCCATGGAATATATTGAAGAATTAGAATGGCTGAAACACAGTATAAGTCTCAAAAGGAACAGATCTATTTGAATGAAAATATCCGGTGCATCCAGTTAAAGACAGACACACAATGTTAGCATTCTAGAATTTAGTTCTACATCACAGGAATGCGCCCAAAGTATTTTTGGCCATCACGGAGTGACTGATGTACCATCATCTACTTTGTCATAACTTTAAATCTATTCATCTCACAGAAAGAAATTGATTGGCACATTGCATAGCACACATGGTGATTCTCTATGAGCCGATTTCACAAGCACAAGGTGTATATTAAAATTTTTATTACTCACCTGAAACTGACCTCATCTACTGCACATTTATAGGTGACATGTTTGCTTTAACAAACAATACTTTCTAAATCAGTCAGTATCGGGAACAGAATGTCAGAGAGAGCGATGAAGTAAGCGTCTGGATATACAACCAGTGATACAGCCACAGGTTTGGCAATCTCAACCCATCCCCACCTGTTAACGATGAGGTCTACAAAACAGTCACAGACTTCCTGCAGTTACACAAACTCTGTCTGCTCATCCACACTGTGTTAATCAGCAGCTTCTCTCATGGGGCTGGGCTGAAATGAAAGACGGGATGAGGACCCATTCAATTCTTGCACTTCCTTCCTTCCTGCCTCCCTGTGGATGGACCTCAATATTTTAAATAGTAGAACAATCCACACATTCAAGAGTTATGCTTGCTTCTACAGGGTGTTCATTCCTTCGCAAATAAATATTTCAGGACATTAAGTGTGGAATAAAATAATTAATTTTAGACGGCCCAAGTTTTACTCATTTAAAAATCTGCATCAATAGCAGTAAGAGTTTCCAAAAAAGCTTAAAATGACAAAAACATCATAAAGTATCTAGTGAAATTAAAAGGGAATTATGGCATTCCTGGAATAAAAACACTGAATCACCAATAAAAATTGGATTCATATTTAGTTTCCATGTGATGCTACACACATTACATCATACTCCTATTCAGACAAGGTGAAGACAGGGCAAACTATGCAAATTAAGAGAAACATTGTTTCCTTTATCTTCTATTCTGTGTGTTTTCTCTATGCTGAGTGCCAGGTGCAAAGGGCAGTGTTTATAACGAAGATTGACAGGGAGCTAAAATGGAGGTGCCCAGTTGCAGGATAGAGGTGTGGACAAGGCCAGATTAACAGCCCAGTGGGCCTGGTGCTGACAATTACGATGGGCCTAATTACAGAATCTTATCAACCAAAAACACTCCCAAGCGTCATGTATTTGATGGAGATGGTTCTGGAGAGAAAGAAAACAGCAGCTATAAGAAAACACATACCCTACGCTAATCTCCCTCTAATTTAGGTTTTCATCTTTCAAGTAAATCCATAACTCCTAACAGCAGTGTCCAGTGAAGCAGGAAGTCAATGGGCGCAGTAAAAGGGTGTGCCAATGATGCAAATCACTGCCAAAAGGGGCGAACATGCCCAAAAACAGGACATGTCTGCCCAAAGAATTGGAAGGCCAGCCAGACCACTTCAGCTCAATGAAGTAGTCTGGGTGCCAGGTCCCCCTAGTTTTAACCCTGCAGCTGAAAACATAGCAATCATGCAGCTTGCCAACTAAGGGCATACTATGCAGACAGCACCCTGAGCTTGGCATATGTCTAATGATGCACTCGCTCAACGCTTTCTAAGGACTGTCCCCTAGCACTCGCTGGTCCACTTGTCTCCTTACCTTCTTGCTAGCAGGCAGAAGCTCCTGGTATATAGTCTAGGACAGAGAAAAGCTATATGTAGTGAGTGTAGAAGAAAGGGAACATGCCACAGTGTTAGAGAGACCAAAGTCAGCATTACCTCAACTAATTTCATTGTCAGCCAGTCCACACAAGTTTTGTTCCCATACATCCCTCTTAAGTTTCCATACTTAAGCAAGAGTATGTGAAAAGTAGTTAGGGTTGCCACCTTTCTTGGAAAAACATACCGGCCTTACTAATTTGCATAATTAATTATGTATGGGTGACATCACATGATATAAATTACAAGGAGTGACATAAAAGAAAATGCTGTAAAATCACCAAACTACTTACAGTTTGATTCTGCTTTATAGATGGACTGCTCCCAGTGTCCCCATGTCTCAGTGCCCCCATGTGTCGTTTACTCCAGGTCTAGTGCCCCATGTCTCCCAGTGACCCTATGCATCACAGTGTCTCTATGCCCCATGTCTCCCTGTGTCCTCCAGTATTCTCACGTTTCTATGTCCCCATGTCACTAGAACACGGGGAGACCCAGGGACACGGAGACACCAGGAGACTAGGGGACACATGGGGATACTGAGAAAATAGGCGACACTGACACCAGGGATATGGGGGCACTGGGAGACTGAAGGGGAATGGGAGACTAGGGGGCACTGGGAGACCAGGAACACTGGCTGGGAGACAATGAGACACTGTGTCCCCAAGTGTCTGTCATAATGTCTCCCAATGTCCCTTAGTGTCCCCATGTCTCCTTGCAGCCTTTCCCCCCCATCCCTCACTTCCCTGATCTGTAGGCTGTCTCTGCAGGGTGGGAGTTGCTGTCTTAGACATATGCCAATACACACACACATACATACACACACACACACACACACATACAAAAAAAACAATAGCTATTTCACAAACCCAATCGCACAACACACTTGCTGTAGAAGTGTCAGTCATAATAGAGGGATCTTTTTCATGGAAACTCCCCCCAGCGCCCTGCTAAAATCTAGATGCCAACTCAGACGCCAAGTGAGAAACAGGGTTTGCCCATGGCACAGAGGTTTTTGGGATATTAGTTCAGCAGTGGCAGTTTTTACAGTCATGGGAAAAACATGAACAAAACAGCTTCCTTAGCGGACAGTGGTTATGGACCCAGGAGTCCCCTGGAAGGCACTATCCCAGGGTAAGGAGGCAAAATGGTTTTGAATAATTTGACACTTGCCTTGTTCCCTCTCCGTTTATCCATAAAGCTTTCCTTCCGCATTAGTGATAAGTCCAGCTGTGTTTGGATGGAATATTTATTGAAAGCATCACATCAATTCTTCCATATGGCTACTGGGAAGGCGTAATGCACAGGGCGCTCGCTATGTATGGGCATTAGGTTCCCCTGATCAGCGGACGTTGGTGGAAGAGGAGCCCTTTATAACGGCAGGGTAGGTGTAGAGGGTTCCTATAGTGTATGGAATACATACTATAGTGCTCTTTTAACAGCATTGTTAAGACTTCACTGATCCAGAGGAGATCAGATTTCAGAAGGTTTCATACACCATTGGAACATACTAAATTGGTGGTATTCAGGCAGCGTGAGTTTGAAAACAAGAAAATAAACAGACCTCAAATATGCTTAATCCAAAAATTAGATGCAGACGAAAAATGGCTCTTAATCCTACCATTAATTGCAATTACTTTCAATAAGCTTATTCCCTTTCCATTACGCTTATGGCTGAAAATGTAATGTATACAAAAGGATAGATAGGGACTGCGATGGAATAGTATGCATCATACACTTGGCCTGCGAAGGATGCAATGCCTTAAAAGTAAAATCCAGAAGAAAATCTTAATAAAACCCATGTTTGAATCCAGAAATATAAAATGTTTTAAAAAGATCCAAATCCTTTGTTTTAGTCACATTGCGACAGATGCCATTAATTCGCACGTCCTCCACCCCATACATACAGCTGTCACACCCACCATTCCAGATTCATGCAGAAAGGAATCAAGTCTTGTCTTAACCCTGTAAATTCTAGAGAGCTGAGCAACACATTCCAAAGCAAATGTAAAAGGAATCTGCTCAAAGACCAAAGTAAAAAAATATTTTTTAAAAATGCAGGAAGAATGTTTCTTCTCCTGAAAGCGACAACTATAGGGGTCACATAATATTTTGTAGTTGAGGTCTAAAATAAATAACCAGTTACATAAGTATATGCTACACCTAGTCCAGTCCACAATGATAAATCACTGAAAAGCTCTTACAAAGTACATCTGCCAACACAATCACAATTTAGAATACATGTGCACCTATAAAATAACTAAAATAATTTTAAGCTTTAACAAACACATTTGCATATACTCAGGTCTGACAATGAGTCTGCCATGACAATGTATGACACCCATCATTTGGTAAACCTCTACACCTTCAAGGAACACATGACAAAATAAGAGCTCTATCAGAGTGTTTTGTTTAATTAAAAGGTGATCTAAAGTAATTAAAGTGTGGCATCACCATGGAAACAGCAGCTTTAAAAAAAAAAAATAAAAAAATGGAAGAAAAATGTAACAAAAAAGTGTAAGTAGTCTATCAAGAATTTTTAAAAAATAAAAAACCTGATCCTCCTGGACTAATGAAAATCTAACAAATGTGCACAAGTTTAACAGGTATAAGAGGCATAAAGAACTATTTTTTTCTATTTTTCAGAGAATGCACCCTTGGACGAGTATCCTGATGGCTACATATCAAGGTTAACCTGCTTTATTTGTAGCGCACAATTGCTCATTCAATCTGAAACCCTTCAGAAGAACAAGTGCGTGTAGATTTACAAAGCAATCTGCCCGTTTCGTGTCCAACCTATGAATTTACCTTCTATTGATAGTGCTCGACAAGAAGTGTTACATAAAGTTGAGCAAGTGAAAGCAAGCAAGTTCGACACCAGAACCAGTCAGACAAGTTTTCCATTCTTGATGTGACTTATCTCAAGCTTCTGCTAAAGCTGAATTTACACAGCTTGCAATTAGAACAGTGAGGAAGACTACGGAATGGGGGTTGGTGGCAAATAAATACGTCATAATCTTTTATTTCTGTCTGGAGGGCTTGTTCCGGGCAACTGTCAGAGCACAGCTTGTTCCTCATGCGTGCGCTTCAATACAAAGGAAGGTTCTCTCAATATATCCCTGCTCAGTTCCTAAATATAAACCCGGCTCCGTTTAAAGAAAGTGAACACTATGCGCAGAGCATGTTGAAATATGCTGTACATTGCCCCTGTGAAAAAAATTAACACAATGTATAAAGAGAGACCTCTTGTACTCCGCTTACATCACAAAGTTGGACATAACGTTCAGTAATTCCAGTAATAAAATTCTGATATGGCCCCTTTGTTAAAATTCCCTTGGAGGAAAGGGTTTGATAATACTAATATTATACCCCCTCCACAAATGTATTATAGGTTAGAGAGCAGTGTTTTCTAAATATGCAATAATGCAAAAACACTCAAATTCATAAGATCTTAGTACGTGACAAGGAGCAAACATTCTATCTGAACTAGGCTCCTTCAATAGATATTCCACTTATGTTACACAAAGATGGCAACAAGCAAAACAAAATGGTGGTAACCTTCCACCATTGTTCACTTTACTGTGTATAAAACTTCATTGGTGGTCGCAATGTGGACTCACTCCCATATACCAGAGAACCATAGCTAAGCAGCCTCTGTCAAGCATAATTTGTAAACAGTTGGATCTGTGTAGGTTGGATCTATTTATTATGAAGGTTTGAAAACCTCAGTGTAGCCCATTTCCCCTGTTTAACCCCTTAAGGACACATGACATGTTTGACATGTCACGATTACCTTTTATTCAATTAGTTTGGTCCTTAAGGGGTTAAAAGAACACTTCAAACAGTGCACTGTATGGATTATGGTGCTAGGAGGGCCCAGGTTGAATTTCATGTTAAGTAGTCAAGACCTAGGTCTCCTGGGAGCCCACAGCAGGTCCTGCTTCCAGTCTTCTCCTGAAGAACTAAGCAAGGCCTTGCTGGACTGCGCTCTTCAGCTGAGAGCACCAGCTGAACACCAACCAAAGAGCAGTAGATTGTCAGTACTTTATTCTATAGAGAAATCTGGTTGCTCTTGCAGGCGCAGGTAAGGTTACTGAACACGGTTTGGCTACCTACAGTGAGACCGCATCAGTTCCCTTCAGGCACCAAACCACTAATGTAGGCTGTAGTGCTTATAGGGTTTTGAGTGTACCTGTCAGTGTGCTTAAATATCTAGGGTTTTTTTGTTTTTTGTTTTACAGTCAGTAACGGGTTTAAAAAAAAAAAAAATATATCCCCAAAAGTCAGCCTCTCTGTAGATTTTGTGTGTAACACATACACACACACACACACACACACGTTTTCAATCAAATGTCAGCAATTCTTTAAACATCATGTTGTCGTCATTATAGTTTGTTTGATAGGTTTTTTTTTTGTGTAATAAATATCCTCTTTTTAAACACAGTGCATTAAGAATAGGATTGTCAATCAAATGATATGTTTTTAAATGCTGAGGTTTATGCTTTCAAATAGTCCATCATTTTCACTTGATCTAAGTGTATGTTATTTTCTAGATTATCAAAAAAAAAAAAAAAAAAGTGACCTTTAAAGAACTTTAGTTCAGGTCACTTTTAAAATCCCCTAAAGGGTAATTTAAAAAGTTAAATGATAGATGTTACAGTGATAGCAGGATAATGAGAATGCTACCCCCACCAACACTCATTGCCTTGGGTGGTATTTATTTGGAGATAACCTCCACTAGAATACTTTGACTTCACAAATTAACACCTCTGTTGGAGCAACAGTCTGCATACTTAGCCCACTAACATAGATTAGTACTCACACAAAACTTAAAATACCCTCAAACAGATCTAGTGTAGGAACACTTACTGGGTCCTGTACTTAAGTGTGCATTGTTGTGGAATGGAAGATAATTTGAAAACTTTGAAAAAGATTAATATAGCTGAATTGGCAAAACTCTTAAAGTTATTTATACTTCAACTTTGGCTATTTTGGTCTAACATTTGATACAGAATGGTTACTGGATCGAGACAATCATTCAAGTTTCAGAGTGCATTCCATTGCAGTGTTGGATGTCCACTGCATCCAAGAATTTTGGAATCTACTACGAGAATGCCTATAAAAAAAAGTGTTTTTCCCTCCCCTCTCCCCCCCCCCAAAAAAACACAATCTCTCACTAAAAACACCACATTTGGATATCATATGATGATGTTCCTGTAAAGACCCGAGAGTCGAGCATTGGGTGTGCTTGTACTGCACGGTCCCTCTACTGTTCTATTGAGAAATTAAGCTTTAGCATGTTTGATATGTTACAGTGGGATGGTGCCAGGCTGCACAGTACGCTGTAGTGACTATGGTGTTGGCAGTGTTCCTTTAAGATGTAGTGGTTTTGGTGCTTTGATTCTATTCAACATTGCATCGCTCTGTTTTTAGCCAGTAGTGAAACAGCTGTAACCATGGGGGTGGGGACAACAAGCTGAGAATCTAACCAAAAAGGATGGGTTTTGTGCTTAGGTATGCAAATTAGACATCAATTAGAACAAAGAATCACAGTACTAGATTCTTGTTGATTCTTTCCGCTGCCAAAATTTATGATGCTATTGACAAACACAAACCCCCCCCCACAAAAAAAGGGGTAAACTTGCACTCTAATAGTCCTACTGTTTGTTGCAGTGGATATGGTACTACGAGTCACCAGATACTGGCCCCCCATTTAAGGAAAACTAGGGTTCTTCTGGCACTGAAAGCCTGCTTCTCTGCTGCCATTTGGATAACAATTAAACTTATTGTTTTTTAAAAGTGCCAACACTATCTGCAGCATCTTATAATGAAGCCATAAGACAAATGTAAATTCAGCAACACAACATTGACTTTACAGAAACAAGAGGTAGGGAAGATCCTGCTTCAACAAGCTTACACTTTCCACTATAGCCACTCTAAATAGCCCAACTTTGAATGAATACTGCGCACACACACACACACACACACAACTTTTACATTATTTTACCAGTGACAAAGAAGAGTGTGCTGGGGAGTGACCTGTTTTTTGTCAAGCCACTCAAACACTGAAGGACAGCACCCAAACACGCATTGCGCCAGATCTACTGCAATGTCTATAGTGGTTATGGTGCGGGGTGTGTTCCTTTAATTCTTTACGTTTGTTTTGGGAATGAAAATTTACTTAAGCCTATTCTCCCATATAAAATATCTGACAGCAGCACACCCTCTTTTACATACAATCTCCACCCGACTCTTGTGACACGCACAGCAAGGTTTGCCAGATCAACCATGTTTTCCTGAACACACTACTTTCTCATGCTGATGATCATCACTTGGAAAGTTCTCCTTTATACGGAGAATTCACATACTGCTGAAGGAATATCTATAGGATTAATTATAGTGGCTACCCAGTGATTCCTGCAGCAGAGCAGCACTTTTTATGTACACTCCAACAGAATCTGTGTGGGAAAGAATGGTGGTTCTGGTAGTGCTAACCAGAGCTTAGCATGAATAATCAGATTAGAACTCAAAAAAGCAAATGACCTTATCTAATGCTCTCCTTCCTGCCATCACTCATCTGGAGCTCACAAAGACAAATCTTCTACATACAACTTGATAACTCCCAGATAAGGTATCCAGTATAATAAGATAAAGAAAAAATAGCAATGTCTGCTGGAAAAAATGGGTTTAAATGCAGATACAAACATCCTTACTTTTACATGACTCACTGCTTATGTGGTTAGTTGGTTCGTATACTAAATATATATATATATATATATATATATATATATATATATATATATATATATATATATATATATATATATATATATATATACATATATATACACACACACACACACACACACACTAAGGATTCCAAGAGAAAGAAAAAACAATATTCATTTTTTTACCATATATATATATATATATATATATATATATATATATATATATATATATATATATATATATATATATATATATATATATATATATATTTGTGCTAGAATGCAGGTCATAGAAACATAGAATGTGACGGCAGATAAGAACCCTTCGGCCCGTCTAGTCTGCCTATTTTTTTTTTAAATAATACTTTCATTAATCGTATAGTTAGTTTAGCCTTATGCATGTCCCATGCATGCTTAAACTCCTTTACTGTGTTAACCTCTACAACTTCAGCTGGAAGGCTATTCCATGCATCCACTACCCTCTCGGTAAAGTAATACTTCCTGATATTTTTAAACCTTTGCCCCTCTAAGCAATCAATTCATTCATGATAAGTAACATAATTTGACAGAATTGCACAACTCAATCCATACAAAGCTCAAAAACTAGAAAAATAATCTCGGTTTCAAAGCCAAACTCTGGAGAAACAGCCCAGGGACAGATATCAGTGTCTTCAATATTAACCCCTGGAGAGCAAGATCAAGTCAAAATCCCAATTGACATGCATATCCACCAGCACACACAAAGGTTAAAGGAGTTCTGTGATGGAGTTAACCCCCACATCCGGTTCAAGCACTGGGACCTTCTGTGAATTCAGCATCTCACCGTGCATCTCCAATTTACCCCCAAAGTAAAGAATTATGGGACAAATAGAAGCTGCAAATCTACAAGCAGGGATGTCAGACTTCCCAGCCCCAACTTCCCCGGAGTGCTTGGGCATTTTATTACTAATATATTTGACATTGATTGTTTAATCAATCAGTAATTGCAGACAGACACACACTAAACAGTCTCCATTGTTAAATCATAGTTGACACTTTACTCCTAAATGTGGAGCAGTCATCATAGAACCCAAGGGAATGTTCCCCCTGATTCTCTTTCTCTATATTAGTGTATTATATGACAGTGCCTGGAACGTACCCACATGCACACAGTGAAAGGATTAATCCAGAGTTCTCTTATACTACAGAGAGAGACTTTTGGTTGTGCCCTAAACAGATATATTGTGATATTTCTGTAAATATATTCTAGCTTAACCCACCACCATGCCTACCATACCCCTAAACCCAGCCACCACCATGCCTACCATACCCCTAAACCCAGCCACCACCATGCCTACCATACCCCTAAACCCAGCCACGTCTACCGTACCCCTAAACCCAGCCACGTCTACCGTACCCCTAAACCCAGGCACCACCATGCCTACCTTACCTCTAAACCCAGCCACCACCATGCCTACCTTACCTCTAAACCCAGCCACCACCATGCCTACCTTACCTCTAAACCCAGCCACCACCATGCCTACCTTACCCCTAAACCCAGCCACCGCCATGCCTACCTTACCTCTAAACCCAGCCACCACCATGCCTACCTTACCTCTAAACCCAGCCACCACCATGCCTACCTTACCTCTAAACCCAGCCACCACCATGCCTACCTTACCCCTAAACCCAGCCACTGCCATGCCCACCTTACCCCTAAACCCAGCCACCACATGCCCACCTTACCTCTAAACCCAGCCACCACATGCCCACCTTACCTCTAACCCCTGCCACTACCATGCCAACCTTACCTCTAAACCCAGCCACCACCATGCCCACCTTACCTCTAAACCCTGCCACCACCATGCCCACCTTACCTCTAAACCCTGCCACCACCATGCCCACCTTAACCCTAAACCCAGCCACCACCATGCCTACATTGCTCCTAAATCCAGCCACCATGCGTCAGCACTCACTTCCTGCATTAATAAAACCCTCTCCGGGGCCCCAGCCAGTCTGCAGGAGTCAGGAAACCCCTCAGTTTAACACAGCAGCCCATACATTGCAACAATCAGACCCTGGGGGAATTATGCCCGAGTAATTTCCTGAGATTCTGTGACATACAGGCACACAAAGGGTAAATGCAGGTAACACACAGTCTCTCCTTGGAGTGTCCTACAAGTCTCATGGTAATCTCAGTAAACAATCCAATATCCAAGGGATGGCACCCATTACAGCACAAAACGATAAAACAGTAAAAACTCACCTTCTTTAATTAAACAGCGGCTATAATATCTAGGATTGTATTTCCCAGCAGCCCTTCCTTAATGTGGGCTCAGTGCTTTGTAAATCCAAGGTCCAGGGAGAAGTGGTGTGATCTTTTCCTTGGTGTGTTGTCCAGGGTCAGATCCCCTTCCCTGCAAGCAGTGTATCCAGAGCTGGCTATGCAGATCCTCCCTCCTAACTGCGTGAGTCTCTTCCAGAGGGTGTTGTGTGTCCACCAGCAGAGGCGTCTGGGATCCCTCTCTCTCCTGATTTGGGCTATTGTATAACAAAACTGGGGCGGGGGCTTTAAAGCTCACTTCTCGGATCAACTCCTGCCATCAAAAAACAATACAGCACAATGTAAACTCAAAAAAAGATCTAATCACGGACAATGCAAACATTAATTAACAAATCTACCCCTCCTCCCTGAATACAAATAAAGACTGCTAAACAAAAAAAAAAATCTACTAGGATTAAAATTTAAAAAAAAATAATAATCCTGATATATATACTAGGCTAGCAGCAAACCTCATGCCAGTTAATAAACTAATACTGCTGGGATTGAAAGGGTTAATTCAATTCTACAACTTGAAATGTTCCACTGCCTATGTGATTTCTGCCATTTGAAATGCTCGACTTAGTTTTCCAGAGTTTACAAAAGAAAACAATTAATAGTGCATTCATAATGAGTTGTCACATATAAATATATTAAAATGGTTCAGAAAAAGAAGCAAGCCAGGATATGTGATCTGACATCAAGGATGTGGTTTTACTGGATACAATGTTCTACAATACCATACATTCCACGATAGAACGCACAACGGAGTCTATTTTATTTTTTTATTTTTTTTATTGCCCCTGGAGAACTAAAAAAAATTCCCCCCATATTCAAAGTATTCTGTCTCCTTACCTGATGCTCTGATTAAGGATCAAAGTCCATCCTGGTGTATGATCTGCCTTGTACTTCTTTAACTAATGTGAAGGAGTGTGAATAGACACACTGAGCACACAGTAACTAATCTCCTATTTCTCCTCCCCCTTCCTGAAACAGGACACATGGAGTTAAAGGGACGGGATGACGTCACTCATCCTTTAACTTTCCCAACTTTCTGCCTCAATCTGGCTGCCTGGTCCAAAAAAAAAAAGAAAAAAAAAAAAAGAAATTTAAAAAATCAGAACAAAACAAGCTCATAAATATATTTTTTTTTCATGCATGTAACAAGTTTTAGAATTGTATCTATTGGTTTAGGAGGTGAGAGAAATTATTGGATATTCATAATAATAAGTCTATAGAGGAAATGATAGACATTCCTAAATGGGTTTTGTGACCCTTGCCCCTTAAGACCATTGTTGGAATTTCCTGAAACGTTTTTTTTTTTTTTTTTAGTGTAATTTCTTCCAGATTTTGAGCTCTGGCTTGCGAATCAGGCCTAAGGGTGTTATGTCGATAAGAAGCCAAGTCAGTAAAATGTCTTCACAGTATAAAGAAAAAAAAAAAACCCACTGCATTTTAAAAGGAATGCGTGTAGTTAAAGAGCCGCTGAACTATGTCTTTTATTTTATTGTATCGCTGACACAACTGCGATCCATTCTATCCTGAACAGAGGCAGGCTTATAACGTCATTCGTTTGAAAAAACAAGAAATGACAGATTATTGATCTTGTATCTTTTTTTTTTTTTAATAACCTTTATATATTTTATGGGACCAAAGGTTAATTCAAGCAACATGCGGGTAAAATGGCATGTGCTTTTTAATACAGCGTGGGAAATTTACATTGTCTGAGTCAACAAATGCCACCTAATAATATCTGTGGCACTGAGTTGCTAGATTTCCACATTTACACCTTTATGAATTCTGCACTCAGTTCTGCCCGCTGAGATTGATATACTGTATACCCGCTAGGAAATCAACTGATAAGTAATTCAGTAATAGATGCAAAGGGTCCTCATCTACCTATTGTTTCTGTGCCACTGTGTAATTGTCTCATTTATTGTAAAATGTCCCCCTTTCATAATATTCTAAAGCGCTGCGGAATTAGTTGGTGCTATATAAATACCAATAATAATAATAATATGATCTACTCGTGTAATATGCGATTTACATACATTTGTTCCGATCACGTAAGAGAGCCACACACCTGCTTGCGGTGCACTTTGGATTATTTACAGTGAATTTCAGCGCATACCTAAACACATCAGCAGCACTGAGAATAGGGCCAGAGCCAGTTAGCTACAAAGCTGGGTAGCATTAACTTGGGACAAGGGGGCGGATCAGCCAGTACGCAATTAGGGATGGCTCGTTCAGAAAGGGATTTTGTCAACCAGGCCTAAATGCATAGAAGGCTGACCACTTTGCTCTTAGGATGAAAGTTCTGACAATGCTGTTAGCAGCACAAGCATGTCTGATGATGTGCTCACGATGCACTTTCTGCTAACAATTTCATCTTAGGACATCAAAGAACAAACCAAGGAGCCTGGAACAGACACTGTCCCACCATATCTGAGACTGCTGGGAGTTATGCCTGCGCGAATGCAGTCAGAGTCCTGGAAGAATCTGCGTTGATACCATCAGTCTGCATTGATACCATCAGATTCTGTGCTGATACCATCATGGCCTGTGCTGATACTGTCAGAATCTGCGCTGATTCCATCATGGTCTGCGCTGAAACCGTCAGACTACGCTGATACCATCATGATCTCCGCTGATACCGTCAGAGTCTGTGCTGAGACTGTCATGGTCTTCACTTATACCGTATGAGTCTACACTGATATCGTCAGTCTGTGCCGATACTGTCATGCTCTTCGCTTATACCGTCTGAGTCTGCACTGATATTGTCAGTCTGTGCTGATACTATTAGACTGCGCTGATACCATCATTATCTGAAAACGTTAGAGACTGTTTGTGCTGATACTGTCAGAGTCTTTCTGCGCTGATACCGTCAGAGTCTGCGCTGATACCGTCAGAGTCTGCGCTGATACTGTCAGTCTGCACTGATACGTCAGAGTCTGTGCTGATGCCGTCAGAGTCTGCACTGATACCATCAGTGTGCACTGATAACGTCAGAATCTGTCTGCACTGATACCGTCATAGTCTGCGCTGATACTGTCAGTCTGCACTGATGCCGTCAGAGTCTGTCTGCACTGATGCCGTCAGAGTCTGACTGCGCTGATGCCGTCAGAGTCTGTCTGCGCTGATGCCATCAGAGTCTGTCTGCGCTGATGCCGTCAGAGTATGCACAATAACGTCATATCACGTGCAATATCATCTGTGTGGTGGCAGATAGGGTAACATGTCATGTATATCCAAAGATGTATTTCTCTGTTACTATGCTCAGTCAGCAATAATATTTTCACATTCTACTTTATTAAAGAAGCAAAAGTTTAAATAAACGTTTAATATTACTTAGGATTTTATGTACAAAAGACTCTTTGTTTCTAGATTTTTAGCTCATTGAAAAGGCACAGCACAGCTGTATGCTCGTCTAAAGCAGCCATGTGGGGAAAATGTTTTCTGATATAAGCCATATTCTATACATTGACTACCAGCTTCTAAATGTGCAAACATTGGCTAACTGTTTACGTGCTGATGTTTTATATATTGTTATTTTATTCTCATATAGTTATTGACTGCCATCGTTTTACAGCATACCATAGAGATTTGTACTTGATACATGTGTTAAGATGAAGGTAAGATCTGGGATGGTACTCCAGATGCAGTGGACAATATCTCCCACGATGCACTCTTCCAGGACAGCCTACGCAACATAACTACATCAGTTGTGTAGTTTGGATTTGTGCTGCCCTAGGCAGAACGGTGCTCCAGCATCCCCCTCACCCACCCCCCAATATTTATATTTTCCCCACCCCTACTTGTCAAGGCCGCACTTTGACTGACAGACACTTTCTTGATGATGCATTCACTAAAAGATACAGTCATTGGCATACATACTGTTTAAACAACATACACTTTCACTGACAAACAACGACATACACACTCACTATTACTCAGACACACTAACAGACTCACACTCACTGACAGATGCACACTCACTGATAGACGCACACACTGACAGATGCACAAATTCACTGACAGATGCACACACTCACTGACATACACTCACACACACACACACTTACAGACACAAGCACACTTACAGACACACACCCACACACTCACTCACACACACACACACTCTTACAGACACACGCTCACAGACAAACACACACTCACTCACACACACACACACTTACAGACACACACACTTACAGACACACACACACACTCACAGAGACACACACATTCATTCACAGACACACATTTCCCCCAACACTCACAACTTATTATTATTTTTTTTTAATTTTAATTTAATTTCTCTCTGGGAGAGCTGGAGTGGATTACTTACCTGCGCTCCAGTGGGGCTGCTGCGCGGGTAGGTAGGGGGCAGACAGGCAGAGTAGGCGGCGAGAGAGCTTTAATCTTCCTGCTCAGCTCCCTTGCGCACCGCTTAGTGATGCCAGGAGCTGGAGTGACGTCATATTCCAGCTCCCAGCTTCATTAAGAAGAGCTCAGGTGAGCATACTCCCTCGCTGCCCGATGCGATAAAAGTGGCCAGCTGGCCAGCTCTTGAGCCCCCCAGGACACAAGGCAAACAAGGCATCTGACTGGGCATTTGGGGGTGGCTTTTTTGCCGCCCCCTGCAAAGCGCCGCCCAAGGCAAATGCCTTGTTTGCCTCGTGTAAGATACATTTCTGCCCTATATAGTGCTTATGGTGCCATTAGACTGCAGGTTGTTCCCCAGTTCTAGGCGAGAATGTTTTCAAGTGGCTTGATTAAAACCAGGTAACCCCAAGGCACTCTACTAATGTAGAAGTTCCACTAAGTGACTTAAAAAAACACAGACTGTAAGCTCATTTGAGCAGGATCCTCATCTACCTATTGTTCCATTAATATTTTGTAATTGTTTCAATTATTGTTAAATTTCTCCCTTTTATAATATTGTAAAACGCTGCGGAATAAGTTGGTGCTATATCAATACCAATAATAATAATTATAATCGATGAAATTGATATTGCTAATGTGTGAGTATAACTAGAAGGTTGAACGTAACTGAGCAGATGGTGCCCTGGGGATCCTGGTTTTAATAAAATCATTTGAAAACCGTTTCACAAAGCACTAGGGAGCAACTTAAACAACCTTAAGTCACCCTCACCAATACATTGGTGTATACTACCCCATGACTACGATATTATTGATCAGGATTTCATTCTTAAACTGGGGCTATCTGAGCAACAATCTGGATAGTTATGTGTAGAGGGGACAAGACAGAACAATAAAACAATGGCTGTAGTATGGAGACAGTCAGATGACCATTTGAGTTTTATGATAATTAAAGGATGACAGACAGACTTGATCACAGATAGACTAAATGATTCACACCTGATAAAGAGACTTTAGTCTGGGAATGTGTTGTTTACCAAAATGTGTTTTGTAAATATGAACAAAATGTCTGGCATTGACCCCTTTTTAAACTATGAAGGTTTTGGAGGGTGATGGGTAAGAGAATTATCCATGTGTAAGTCTGTTTATCTATCTGTCTGACAGTTCATGTATTTAAAATGCATAGAACACAGGGCTGATGTGACTATATAAATGTTTTGTACAGTGAGAACAATAAAGATTTGGAATTCTCTGCCTAAATAAGTTGTTGCCTTTTTTTGGATCAATTTCAGAAACAGAGATGTGTGAACTTGGACTGTGGATGGATTTTAGCCTTTATTACTATGTAACTATGTATAATTATAAGTGCACCTATTATAGTCATAACATATGAATTAATATCTTTAATTGAAATATTACAGAGTACATAGTTCACTGTACCGATTATGTTGCCTAGATACCACTGGTGGCCTGGTTAAATGTCAATCCATTAAGAAGCAGTTTAATATAGGCCTGGCTCCTTCTGATGGACCCATCTATGTAAGGATCTTTCTGGAGCTGAAGGGCAACTCCCACTGATGCACTGGTAATGCAGAATCCAGTGGTTGGCTGAGAATGCTGGGGTCAGGGTATCCCAGCGCCCTCAGCCAATTAATGGTATCCATTTTGAACAATATCAACACTAGTAATATAGAAGTATTAATGCCATATCATGAATGTGGTTGAGATGGTGTTTGTCCCTCAGCCCCAGGAAGACCTTTCATGTTAAACCAGGAGACCGCACCAGGGGTCTCCATGCAACAACACCTCTAGCGTAAGCTGTGATGGTAATGTTGCTTAGAGTGCCCCTTTAAATTGCATTTTGCTTATATGAATGTTTATTACTAAAACAAATAATGTATAATGGAAATTATACAAGATTTAAAGGGGTAACCATATATAAGGTTGGATTTGTGCCTTTATATTGTATTTTAGAAGATAAGCTCAATCACCCAAATAATGACTCGATGACATAATTTAAGTAGTTGCACAGTTACAGCCATTTATCTTGAGGAAATTGTGGTACAATGACTCAAGTTATATTTGACTCATAACTTATTTCTGTCCTGGTTTTCCTAGTAGAGGAACAATGCCGTTAGTTATGTTGATGAATGGTGATATTGATGAATGACGCTTGGATTCACTAGATCAGACAGTGAATGTCTATTGCCAGGGACACGGGTGTCTATTGAAGATTCAGGTATGACTGAAACATGAATGTGAAATAGGTACGGTTATTGGCAATAGTGCGAATTATCAGGAATTCAAAGTGTCTTGGGCAACATAGCTGAACCAGAAACAAATCCAAGCCAGGTACTTTTCTTGTTTAGATAATTTGGCCTAAGATTTAAAATTTACATTGATTTCTATTTGAATTCCTTGTCAACTCATACTTAAGTGAATAGCCCCGAATCAACATCTCACTTCACAGAGTCTTTTCCAGTAAAGCCTACGTTTTTCCTCTTGCATAATTTTTTTTTATTAATTTAAGTGTCTTAGCTTGGCAAGAGCCACTTGGCAATAACTTATGATTTTGCAAGCACCAAAATGTTAGAAGAGGTCTCAGAAAAGGATGTTTGAATCGAAGGTGAAAGGAGCTAAAGTCACTGTGGAGTCAACCCTAAGGTTTAGTACTTTGTAATTACAATGTGCATTGTAGTAAAAATCTCAAGAATTAGAGCTACTTGTGTTTTGTTTAGTTAGTAAGTTTTTTTAAAAGAGATTTTAGTAAATTTACTACTGTTCCTTTAAGAAAACACTGACAAACTTAAAAAACTGCCATGTTTTGGTAAATTTTTCTTTACGAGAATTCATTGGACTTAATACTGTTCCTTTAAGAATCACTGACAGCTTCTACATTATGCTATAAATACGTAAGGTGCCAGTGCCTTATTAATTGTGTTGCTATACTATCGGTGTGTGCACTAACTCTCGTTGTCCAGGCGCTGTTAAATTGGAGCCCACCGCTGAAACATCCTTTTTGCCATAACCGGCTTTTCAGAAAAGAACTCTATCTATCAGACTCGGAACGGCTTTCTCTCTGCATTCTGCTCAACCCTCTTTCAGACTGATTTAAAGGTACTAAAAACACTTGCAAATAATAAATAAAGGAATAATTACCTAGTATAAAGGATTGTTTTGAGGTTGCCGTTTATTATTTATCTGCGTTTCACAAAGACTATAACTCCCATCACGCTTTCAATAAAGTTTAGATAAGTTTTCTTTTCGCTTCTCTACAAAATTTCTTACACGTAAGTTTCTTTTCTGTTGCAGTAAGTTATTTGCCTTGTCTAATTCCTACAATAAAGAAAAGTTATTTTCTTTTACCAGTTGAACAAATAAAAGTTTTATTCTTACACTAGCTATATAACAGAAAAATCACAACAGTACCAGATCGCCATTTTTGTGGGAAGCATATAAATTCTATATTTTACAATATTAAATTTTTTTTGCCTAAAATAGAACTACAAATTAAACTCCTGTAAATTATTTTTTGCTAAGTTTTAACTTTAAATTGTGATTATCAGCTTTTCTCTTGTGCCTCAGGCAAATGCCTTCTTTTAAAAAGGTGTGTACAGGTGCACAGGTGCACAGAGTTAACTCCTATTTTTCCTCATAGCTGTGTAGAAGGAACTCTGCATTACTAGCTCAGCAAAGCATTCTGGGTCATATAGCGCATATGGTGAATACATGTTGACTCACTGGTAAGCAATGTCTTGCTTTTCACTGTATAACTATTTCTATGGTAATTTCTTAAAATGTAACTGCAGTGACTGACTCAAACAAATGGAATGCTTGCAGTTCTATGAGCTGTGCTAAATTCCAGGGGCCCTGAAAACATTAGGTACTACTGCAGTGAGAAGCACTGCTTCTCAAAGTCCATCTTGAAATATGCAGGTTATGCAGAAGTGGCATATATATATATATATATATATATATATATATATATATATTGCACTCACAGGGCATGTAAATGAGCCTGTTGTTTAATGTAGCAATTTTTTTTACATCTGTATCACAATTGACGTTTCGACCTTTAACGGATCTTTTTAAATAAATATCTGACTAGTATTTTATAGGTCCCTCTCATGCCGCCAAAACAGCTCTGAAGCATTGTGACATGGACTCCACAAGACCTCTGAACATGTCCTGTGGTATCTGGCAGGAAGACATTAGCAGTAGACCCTTTAAGTCCTGCAAGTTGCGAGGTGGTGCCTCCTTGGATCAGCTTTGTTGTCCCAGCTCACCCCATAAATGCTCAATCAGATTGAGATCAGGGAAATTTGGAGGCCATGGTAACATCTTGAACTAAGTCATGTTCCTCACACCATTCCTGAACAATGTCTGCAGTGTGGCAGGGTGTATTATATACACCCACGCATTGGTCTCCATGCTGCTCTGATTCCCTAGCTGAGATCATTAGTTTTTGATGTTCTCAGCCAATCCAATCTTTCCTCATAAGGAAGCATTGGAAGGGTAGCACGCATGCAAGGTAAAATGTTGAGAGTCTATAACTGAGCTTACCTTTCTAATAGCCATTAGAAGCAGGTTAACCCTGCAATTATCATGGCACCCGCCGGTCCTGTATCCCCCTGTATCGTTCTGTAACTCTTGACCTTTGACCCGTCTAACCTTTTACTTATCTTCTGTTTCCCTGACCTCGGCTTGTCCTGTACTTTTCCATATTAACGTTAAATCTGCTTCTTTGTTTAATTATTTGGGTGTTAGATATTCCTGACAGCAATGAAAACATTGCCGTTCCTGCAAAACAACAATGTTTTCAGTTGCAGGGTTTAACAGACAGGGATATGGCTACCAGACCACTTCAATGAGACAAAGAGAAGGTAAGAGAGATCTGTGGTGGTTGAAATTGGTCATAGATCTTCAGTTTCCTATAGTAGCAGGAAAAAGTGATATTTCAAGGAGGAGTGGGGCTCTTAGATTTCTTTAGAGTATTTTGCTTCAGACCCCTGTGACCTTTCTTGTTAAGCCCGTTATTAGCTACACTTAAAGGGACACCGTAGGCACTGTATCTGCTTCATCTCATTAAACTCGTTATAGTGTCTGGAGTCCTCTGGTACCATCATTTCTTTCAGCATTAAAGAGTTTTTAAACTTTTAATGTTTTAATGCTAAACAAGAGTCCCCGGCAATCCATCGCTTCTGTGCTGCTTTGGCTAATAAG